TTTATTATGCCATCTTTTCCTACGTGGCATTGCAATATTTTCCCTTTGATTTGACTTTGAATTCTGTCTAGAGCTGAATCCACACAAAACATAACTGACAAAAGTCCAGGCAAATATTAGTGTTTCTTAAGCAGCCAATGTACTAAGAAAACCCAAAGCTGATTTCATTATAAATCCCCATGGCAGCTCATTTTTCTAAATGCAAAGGCATCTGCATCATTTTAGTCCAATTCATTACAATCAGTGATGCTACATGGAACAGGCGCAAATTAAATCTCACTAACAGGAAAAGGAAGACACAAATCCTCACTGGCATTGAGGCACGAGCTGAAGTGTTTTATAAAGATGAGTTTGGGCCTCAGAAGGGGAAGAAAGTTCATGTTAGTTCCTGGAGCTGGTCTCTTAGTCACACTTTTAGGCCCACTCTCTGGGGCCCTCTGAGGAGGCCTGCACTTCCAAGCCTGACACTTGCTGCAGGAAGGCCATAGTGTGAGGTTTGAGTTGTAGTGTTAATGGATTTCTCCGTGGGGGTCCACCAGCCAACAGAGGGTCAACCTGCCCTTTGGGTTGACCTCCAACCACCCCGGTCAACCCACCAACAAAGCATATCTGGCTTCCCGGCTGTGGAAGTAGATATCAGAGAGCAGTAAGAACAAAGTCTAACCCTAAACTCAGGCTTGAATACTTAATAAACGTCCACCAGATCCTTGACTTATTTTCACTTCTCCAATTATTTTCATGTTTTAGGATTACACTTTGTAACACCATGGGCTAATTTCCCAAGGAAGATTTCCTCCCTGGGATCAGATCTTCAGCATCATCGGGGATGACTTGCTCTTCTCCTAGGAAGCAGATGGGATCAGCAGATGGTGATTTCTGATTATAATCCTAAGAACCTCATTCTCAAATCTGGGTCCCCATCCTCAGAAAATAACTACAGTGAGGGGAAGATGAAAAATACTCAAGAAACCCCTCGAGCGAAGCTGCCTTCTCTGGAGAAGCACGAGGCCTGGTGTTTACTCCGTGATCAGGCACTGCCTTGCAGAGTGTGGCTGGGACTCAATAGACTCAAGACTCTCTAGACTTCCAAAGACCACCTGAGGGATGAGACAGACCAGAAACAGCCAAATATTGCTCAGCATTTCACTGTTGAGGGAGTAAAAGGCCAGGGAAATCTGCATTTTCCATGTTCTAGTGATTTTAATTGAAATTCAGAGCATAAACATGCCCAGAAAAGGCAGACCCTGCTGTGTAAGGCTGTAAGTCTGAATACTAGGAAAACGCTGTTTGTGTGTCTGTATGCACAGGCACCTCTATATCTGTTTACGTACTTATTTCTTTAATGGGTGAAAATGGATGGGCAACTAAAACCTGAGTGCTGACAACCCAAGGTCACCCCCTTCTTTGGTTGCAGAGCCAAAACAAGGACCACTTTTGTGGTTCTGTCCTCCACCCTTTCCTCGTAAACCTGGACTGGCTGGCACCCACACTGCTGACTGTGGGCTTTTAATGCCACCAATTGCAAACCTCCAATCAGTGGTTCCTTACAGGTCAGCTGGATGCTTCCTCCTGACTCTGGGCTGGCCACCTGCCTCCACACCTCCGTGTTCACTTGTCCTTCAGAAGCATTTACCCCTTCTGACCTGTCTTTTTTCTGGAACTCCAGGGCATTCTGTCTCCTTGCCTCCAAACTTCTCCTCCTGGCTGTGTCCGTGAATGTGTCACCTGCTCCTGTGCTCACATCCTCCATCCAGCCATCTGCTCAGCCAAAAACTATCTATCGGGAATCTACATCCTCTTCCTCACTCGCACTGCCATTCCCCATTCCTGGGCCAGGCTACCTCACCCCTCTCCTCTGTTAACACTTCCTTTCCAGCCCCTCTGGCTGCCTCTGCCCTTCCTCTCCCGTAATCCAATCTCTGCCCTGCACTTAAGTGGGCTATTAAATCTACAGGTGGATGGGCACAGCTTTTTCTGCCAATGACTCCTCCCATGACTTGCAAGATTCTCTGAGGTTTCCCCTGCTTCCCACACCAACTCCATGGACATCCCTGTGCTGCTTCCTGGTGTGTTCCAGCTCTTTGAAGTTCACCCAGTCTCTAGCTCTTGGCCTTTCACATACGTTGATGGCTAGTATCCCTCAAGTCCCAACTGCACCCTACTTGCCCAGTGTCTCTGACTGGACCAGATTCCCTCCAGTCTTTCAGCACACTGAGCTCTTCTCTCCTGGCACATGACACACTTGACTGTAGTGACCGTCTCTCTTCCACCTTCTTTAGCGTCTGCCCTGGTCACCGTCTTCCCACCCCCTGTGACACTGCCTGGTGCACACTACACACTCAGCAAACGCTTGTGTAGTAAATAGATAAGTTATAACTTGTGACTGTACTCAGAAGTTCTGACTACTTACCTTAAACAACTCTTTTATCTCATTTAGTTGAATAGTATCAAAATTACCAGTGACTCATAAATGGCTATTCATTGCTGCACTGCTACTTAACATTGATGATGCTAAATATTAACATCATCATTTTGACTCTCAATCTCTTCATCTGTAAAATTCAGGGTTTATATACGGTGTTATGCAAGGTGCTTCGAGGTCAAAGACATTCACTTCCCAGTTCTTCCAAGTGCCAAGGTTTCTCATTTATGTTTTTGTCTTTGGGAGCAACTTATAAAAATCACATGTAGTCCTCCTCCAAACTGATTTTACAAATGAGAAATAAAGTCACAACTTCAGATCTCTTCTAAAAGTGATCGTGAACATTCTGCAGTGCTCTGAGGTGGGCCATGAGCTGTACTAGTCCATCCTCCCAGGCTATCTTCTTTTTACACACTGCCGTCAACTATCTGAAAGCCTTATATTTTATAAACAAATCGGCTAAGTGTAAAAGTTATTTCTGTGTGCATTCTCAAAGTGGTGGGGTATTTTTTCTCACTCGGATTACACTGTACAACTTTTATAGAATGAATTTTGTTCATTTATGCAAGGAAAAGTTGTGAACTTATTCCACACATCACAGCGCCCCAAGGGCAGGTAATACAGGTGTGAACAGTGTGTCTTAGGTGCCTCGAGAAACTTCCTGAAGGACTCAACCCCAGCTTTCAGAGCCAGGACTGTTGTCAGGCCATGGGCCACCTATGTGCTCAAAACGGCCCAGGGCCACAGCCTCTTCTGCTGGTTGGCAGCACTGTCATCTCCAGGATGCGCTTTGTGGTTTCTCTCCTTTCTGAGAATAACAACGCGAGTAACACACAGTTGCCCCAAACTTTTGGATAGTATTTGGAATCTGTTCTACTCTGTCAGTTACACTGCAAATACTGAAGGGTTTGCATGGCCTTAATTAAACAAGGCTATTATGGTTTGTGTCTAGACGGTCCCCTAAAGACTCATGTAGTCATGCAGCTTTTTTTGGAGGTGGCTGAATCTAGAGTGTTTGATTGATTAGTAGTGCAATACTTGGATTAAGCGTGCTGGATTAAGGATGAGTCATTGCTAGATCGGTCGACTGACTGGATTGGCACCACCTTAATCCCAGTAGACTGGATACAATATAAGGGACAGAAAGGGTCTTGTCCTCTCTCTCTCTCTCTCTCTCTCTCTCTCATTGCTTTTGCTGTCTTTTGCTGCCATGAACTGTTGCCCCTCTGCCATGTGCCACTGTGCCTTGGAGCCAATTATGGGCTGAAACTCTACAAACTATGAGTTAAGTAAACCTTTCCCCTGTAACTTTGGCTATTGGATGTTTGTCTCAGTAACAAAAGAAAAGTAACTAAAACAAAGGCAGAGTACTAGATTTATTGGCAGCAATCATTACCACTATGAGAGGTGATAGCTTTTTAAAAAAACCATATTGTCTTACCTTTCCCTAATTGCAATTGGAATTCCGCCCAGATAATACGTGCTGAAATCAAATATTTCCCCTTCAATTCTAATATTCTGATCACCCACATTTATTCTCATAAGTTTCTGTTGTTTTCCAATTTTGATTAGAATCTAGAATAAATGAGAGATGAATCAGCAAGTGGTGGAAAAGAAAAGAATCCTATTTTCAGTGGCTCAGAGCTTTGATGTTTATATTTATTTTCCTTCGGATTCATTTATATACATAGTAGGAAGATGGCATAGTAGCAGTCTGGTAGAAAAATCTGATACTAAAACATTTTAATAGATCGTTTTACTTGAAGGGAACCATGGCTTATATGTGCCATATATATCACATATTTCATGCTCAAATGTTCAATATTTGAAAGGCTACATTCCCAGTTAATAAGTTCTTCTGATAATAGAAGATTTGTATTTAGTTCAGTTTCTGTATGTTGGCACTGAATTAATTTAAAGGTAGATATAATTTTTAACAATTCAAGTAAAAAGACTCCAAGGACATACCAAATGATCTTTCCCGTTGTTGATGGTGCCTCTAATTCCTTTCTCTTTCGGTGGCTGTGAGTCCAGTTTGTATCGGACCATGAGACTGCCATCTTCTATATTTAAGGATATGAAGTGATCCTAGGCCATGGAAACAATGCAGGTTACCAGAAGAGCCAGATCACTGGAAATCGAGTTATTCTGAAGTCACTAACCATGCTCAGCTTTAGCTGTGAGACTTAATTCCTGGCATAGGGGTGATGGTTACCTACCATAAGTCACACTCAGCTTTAGGTTCAGTGTCTGGCACTCAGGATAGACACAATATATGCTACTGATCACTATGATTTTGTTTCATGCCAAGCATGACCAGCTTGTAAAGTGGAAACTGAAAGGTATAGATCATTACAGTCACTTGAACATAAAGAGAGCTGCCTTCTGAGATGGACATGGTCTTACATAGTCCTCGGGTCTTTTCCTCTATATGCTTTTTTTAGGTCTCATTCCCTTTGCTGCCTCTTCCCTTGTACTCTGCATTTCAGTTTTGGGGGTCTTTCTCAGGGGGTGTCTCCACAGGGCTGCTCCTCCCTTCACACAACTCCCATGGCCTGGAGCCCATAGTCACACCTGTGATTCCACCATGGCTGCACCCATGAAAGCTGATTCTTTCTCTCCGGCCTGGCCCTGTCTTCTCAGGGCAAGGTCTGAAGACCACATTTCTTTGTTACTATCGTTAGTGCTTAGATGACTCACAGATCCTTCACATCCCCATTATTCCAAACAGAATTTGTGAACACTTGCCTCCTACATGCTGCCAAGCCTGTCTCTGGCTCAAGGTTGTCTTTCTTTCACTCTGTGTACACCCCACCCCATCACCTTGTTGAGACACTATTGAGGCATTTCTGACCCATCCTTCTCTTCCGGCCAAGCCAACCTTGTGGATTCTTCCCTAAGTCTCTCAGGTCATCTCCTGGTCTCCTTGACAGCACCTCCAGCCAGACTGCACGGCAACATCCGTCTTGGCTCTCTGTGTCCCCTCCTGCATCATTTCCATGCTTCAGCCAGAGCAGCCTCTGACAAGGCCAGTGCAAGCTGTCACTTTCCTTTGCTCCCAGGACACAGCCCAGACTCCCTGGCAGATGCTGTGAGGCGCCGCCCATCTCTTTGCTTCGTCTTCCAACACTCCCTCTAGCCCTGGAGCCCCCACCTCACAAAACCCCCTCCTGGGGCTGGGTGCCTCTGCCCTTCCATCCCAGGCCTTCTTCATGCCTTTCCTCCTG